AGAGTTTTAACATGTTTTAGTGTTTCATTATGCATTTCTTCAAACATGTCAGACAACTCATCATATGAAGGGGAAAGAGTAGAGCAAGACGAGTTTACCTCGGTTTCGGATTCATTTTTGTCTTCATTTTCCATGAGACATATATGTTGAGTTCCTTTGCTTGATTTCTCCGGTGGTCTCCCATCTTGCATGAAGTATAGGTTTGCTTCTTCCTTGGAGTCATCATCGGAAGAACTAGATTCGTCATCCCAAGCAAGATAAGCCTTCTTGAAGTTCCTTCTATCCTTGCCTTGCTTCTTTTCATATTTTTCTTTCTTTTGAATGTTTGGACAATCCGATTTGTAGTGACCGGTTTTTCCACATTCATAGCAAGTGATGGTGAGTTGTGAGGATCCTTCATCTTTAGATCTTCTTCTAGGAGGAAATGCGGATTTCTTTGAAAAATTCTTCTTAAAGAATTTTCCATACTTCTTTACGAAGAGACTCATCTCATCTTCATCAAGACCATTTTCGGAATCTCCATCTTCTTTTTCCTCATCCGTCTCTTTGCTTGGTGTTGAGGCCTTCAAGGCAATTCCCTTACTTTTCTTGATGGCTTGTTCCTTCAAGGTTATTCTAGTTAGCTCCATTTCATACTCTTGGAGCTTGCCGAACAAGGTTGTAAGATCCATGGTTTTCAAATCTTTTGATTCCGTAATAGCTGTCAACTTGGGTTGCCATTCCCTATTGTGCACACTTCTCATCACCTTAGCAATTAACTCAAGGTTAGTAAAGGATTTATCTAAAGCATTTAGATGAGTGACAAGGTGTGTGAATCTCTTTTGCATACTTTGAATACTTTCATTCTCATGAATCTCAAACATTTCAAATTCTCTAGTGAGTGCATTTAATTTTGTAAATTTAACATCACTCGTTCCTTCATGGGTTATTTGAAGAATATCCCACATTTCCTCAGCATTCTTAAAATTTGAAACACGAAAGTATTCATCACGACCTAAGGCATTTATGATCAAGTTTTGAGCTCTAGCATTCCAATTTCCTTTCTTAATTTCATCTTCAGTGTAATTATCTATATCTTTAAGAATATCTTCATCCTTCTCATTTTTTATAGTAGGTGGTGTGTACCCTTTTTCAACTACACTCCATACTCTTAAATCATTAGATTGAAGAAATATTTTCATCCGACTCTTCCAATAAGAATAATCGACACCATTAAAAAATGGAGGTCTAATACTAGATGATCCCTCAAGGGGCATATCATGGTTCAAAGAAGCCATCCCTTCTCTTGAAGCGGTTAAGCTCTTTACACAAGAGTTCAAGCTCTGATACCACTTGTTGGACAGGTGGCTTCAATACTCAAGGGGGGGTGAATTGAGTTTTACAAAATCTTTTCGCAAAGTACCTCCTTTGATGTTTTAAAAACTATTTCTTCAATAAAGTGATTTAATAAAGAAATGTCTAATAGTAAAAGCAAGTGTAGTGATCAACAAAGTAAGCAAGTGAATATATAAAGACAATCTAAGATGCAATTTTAATACTTAAAAAAAGGATTAAGGTTAGAGAAATTGCAAACTAGGTGTATCCTGGTTCGATCACCACCACCGTGACCTACGTCCAGACTGAAGCCGCTCGATCAATTCTTTTCACTAACTATCAAGCTTGAGGGTGCTTGACAAACCACTACAACTTTTCAAGACTTCGGGCTCTTGATGCCTTACACTTTTTCACTCCAAATTTTCTTAGAAATTTGGTGACCTTTCAAGTGTGTAGGGTTCACTCCCCTAGCTACTCAAGTAATCAAGGAAGGTGTTTAATAATGGCTAAGTACTCTTAAAGTACAAATAAGACAAGTTGAAGAACAATGGTATATGACACTCTCACAAGAATAAAGCTCAAATAGGATTTATGATCAAGAAGACAAGAATAATGCAAATAGGATGAGAATTAATGAGTAATGATGATCAATAAGTGTGTCCCATCAATGAGAACAATAGTCTCTATTTATAGAGGGCCCCTATGGCCTTTTTCCTACTCATTTTCGCAAACTAGCCGTTTTATAGCCGTTATTTTTGTCTCTGTACAGTAGGTAATCGATTACCATTGAGTGGGTAATCGATTACCATGAAGGGTAATCGATTACCAACCTGTTGAAAGGTTGGTTTTCGCCCTAAAATGGTTTTCTCTTGATTCACATCATTTTCAAATATTGTTTAAACATTTTATGAACATTGAAAAGTATGTTTTCATGTTAAGAATGTATTTGAATGTCAAACGATGATTTAATGCATGTATTTAAAAAATACTTTGAGCTTCATTCTTGTAAAGAATCAATTTACAAATAATCCTAAGTCCTACAGTATATTACTCTGAGTTTGGACTTAGTGACTTCTCTTGAAGCTTGAGTCTTGATCTTGTTTAGACTTCTTTTTTATGGTTGCACCTTGAAGCTTTCTTTCCATGTTTGTTATCATCGAAATCGTTGAACCTTTATATTCTTTTCATAGAGTGCATTGGTTCCACATCGACGGACCAGATTTTGAGTAGCTATAGGCTACTGCTATTTTGGAGTATATTGATGTTATTTAGCATTTCAGTATTTTGTGGATCATGATATTTGATCCTTTATTTTGTATATGACCTTTATATGTTTTGTACATGTCTGTCTGTTTGATGCATGTACATTTGGGTATTCAGGCATGTTGATATGACGATGTAGTATTCAGTTATGTTTACTTGATGGATTGCATGCTGTTAGATATAGTGGCACGGAGCCAAATTATGTATGCGCCCATGGATGATTATATGATTTTATATGGATGTCTGGTACTTCTGAAAGTATATGCTGTATAAACTGTCTATTAGGAACTCGTGAGAGTGGGATTGGAAAATCTCCAGTTGTCCGATTTACAGAGGTTACTCTGCCCGATTTTTCGTCTCCGTCAAATAAGAATTGAACTAGAAAAAGAAAAAGTTAGCTCGTATTTTCGTAAGTTAAGTCTTTCGTTGTTTCTGTTTGTATCATATGCATGTTAATTGAACCGGCTCGAGACGGGATGTTACAACCGCAAATTATATAACTCCAGTATCCACCAGTGAACGCAAAAAAATAAAAAAATTTAGGCTGATATGAATTTATTATTTTAGATATTACAAACACCGTATAAAAAAATTGTAAGATTTCATTTTATTTTTTATTGATAATAACCTAATTTTATAACTTTTTATTAAAAAATATTATTTTTTAATTGTGTCAATTTAATAAATTATAATTTTGATTGTGAAATAGAAATAATAAACTATTTAGTTATGAAAAATATAACGTACATTTTATTTTATTTTTTGATAATAACGTACATTTAAATGAAGGGAAACATGTCTGTCGTTTCAAAGAATAAATATTTGAGGAACATAATTAAATTAAAAGAAATCTTTTACTTTTTTCCATCATAATTTTTATTGTGTAATTATTTCTCCCATAATAAAGTATTTTAATTTTAACTAAAATAACATAATTTTATATGACGAAAACTAACCCCTAACCTAAGCCATCGCATTCGTAGATTCATACAAGTGATGAAATTGCGAAGATTGGCTTATTATGAATGCAATTGCAAGTAGAGCCCACGATAAAAAAAAAAAAAAAAAACCCAACAAAAGACAATTGAATGGGTTGAAATGCTACACTGGGAATGGTTAATAATTAAATGAAGAAAAGCCAAGTTGACCCAATTAAATGTCGTGGGAATTCAAAAATTTGACCAGTGTCTCGTGAAGGTAATAAACTTTTATTATTTGACTCAACTAATTGCACATTTTAAAATCCACTAGTTGTTGCCACAAAGCAAACACACAGAGAGGGTGGAACTAGGGGTGTAAATGGGTTGGGCTGGGCTGGGCTTTGGCCATCCTGGCCCAAGCCTACGTAAAAAAAAATCTAGCCTATCTGGCCTACTGGCCTATTAAAGGCTTTATTTGTAGGCCAAGCTCGGCCCATTTTCAAAAATAAGAAAGCCTGACATGGCCTACAGGCCTTGTAGGCTTCCCACTATATATACTAAGCAAAATAAATAAATTGTATAGAGCAAAAAAAGTTTCATTCATCCATGCACTAGTACTTCTCATAAGAAAAAGATGACAAACAAGAAAGAGTCAATATAATACCTCAGCTCTAGAATGTATATCATAGAGGAATAAAGTCAAAGTCAAAGAAATGAGAAAAATAAGAAAAATACAATTACTGGATGCTGAAATAAAGTCTACAAGAGAATGTCATTCATTTAAAAATCTTTAAACCACCATCAAGACAAGGGAAAGAAGAGTATTATTGAAAGATCTTCATCAGTAACATCATAATCCAGCAAGGTACCCATTGCTCCATGGTATTAAGCTGCAACAGCATGTAAAATTTGGAGACATTAGACAAGTTTTTCTTTCATAAAATAAAATAGCACAAAAAGTAAGAGATATTGGTATTTAGTACTTTGTGTCTTTGCCACATAAAATAAATATTATTTTATTATTTTATTTTCATAAATTAAATAGGCCAGCCTACAAGGCTGTAGGCCGGGCTTGACAAAATTGGCCTATGGCCTATTTATTAAAAAAGTTTTTTTATAAGCCTAAGCCTACTCTACTTTTCTGAAAGGCCGAGCCTGGGCTTAATGTAGGCCGGGCCGTAGGCTGGGCTGGGCCAGCCTGGCCCATTTACACCCCTAGGTGGAACACAAGTAGCAATATCCATGAGTAAGCACCCTCACCCCACTCTAATCCTGTTCTTCAAGATTATTCATGGAGCAAGTCTTGCAGATGGAAAGCTTGTAAACATTCTTTCCTTCATCTCCTTTTTCTCTCCGTGTATCTTCATTTTTTTTATTTTTTTTTTGGATTTTTATTGTGAGGTGACATGAATCATTTAAAAAATAAACGTATTCGTTCTGTAGCAGAACTATTACAAGACCAATTTTTGGATTTCTCTGTAATGTCTATGAATATCATTATGCATGCTAACAGAAAGTTCTTTGCAGAAGATCCCATACAATTTCATTAGGAAATATGGTGGTGACATGCCAAACCCAATGTTTCTCAAGCCTCCAGATGGCACTGAATGGGAAATATTTTGGACTAAACATGATGGTGATGTTTGGCTTCAAAAGGGTTGGAAAGAATTTGCCAGATATTACTCCCTAGATCATGGTCATATGGTCTTGTTTGAATACATGCAAACTTGTCATTTTGAGGTACACATATTTGACAAGAGTACCCTTGAAATAGATTATCCTTTGCATGTCTCTCAAGATGTACAAGACAACTTTGACCAGATTAGTGATGAAGACTCAATTAAAATTTTGGATGAGATACCACCATGCCATAAGACGAGAGAAAAATCACCAATGTTTTCTCCTCAACCACGTAAAAAATCAAGGACTGGCACAAGTGGAGATGTTAAGAGAAGATCCCCTGAGCAAAATTTGCCCCATCATGTCCAAACTGAAGGCAAAAACTTTGAGAAGTCTAAATTTTCATCAGTAAAGAAAGAATCTGATGGTATGTATTTCATGATTGGGTTATCCTTTTCATTTTATTTAATGTATTTCATGAGCTTTAGAGGTCAAATATTCATAACATACCCTTGTCACATAGTTAAATTCTAAGCTTGTCACATAGTTAAAATTGTGCAGAGTGAATCCTTAAACTAAGTGGTTTTGTTGCCATGCCACAGGTGAGACGGCAACTCACTGCCCCTTCACAAATGGAGCATTGAATGAAGCTAATAAATTTGCCTCAGAAAATCCCTTCTTCACAATCAATATTAACTCGGGAAATAGACCGGTAAGGTTAAGTTGAGCACTGACCAAATTAAATACATATATATCTGTATGGAAACTTCATACCAAGCAAGCAGCAAGCTTGTAGTTATTGTTGTACTTACATTAACAGTTAAAGTTAGGCTGTGATCTCATCATGGTGATGAAAATATAACTTGATGCAGCCTGTACCAAGGGCCTTCGTCAAAGAGTACTTCAATAATAAGACGCAGATTGTGAATTTCAAGTTTGGAAAGAAATTGTGGCCAGTAAAGTTGCTCTGTTATATGTTTTCTAGTGGTTGGTTCGCATTTGCAAGAGAAAGTGAATTGGTAGGTGGAGATGTTTGTGTCTTTGAGCTCATCAACAGAGAAGATGCAGTATTTGATGTTCATATTTTTAGAGGCCAATGTTCGTATTTTTTATTTTTGGAATATTTTTAGAAAGGACATCTTAAAGGATGTAAAATTGTCTAATTTTAAGGAAGAGAAAGAGATAAATCATGAGAAGGAGAGAGTGAACAAAAAAAAATATATAAATGTGGGTTTTAACTCTTTGTGAGAATAAAATATTATAAGTTATGTTATTTAAAAAGACAATACTTTTCCCTTTTCAAAATTAGTTCCGTTGAAAAAAATGAAAACTCAAAATTAAGATGATAAAACAAATGTGAGTCGAAGTTAATCGTTCGGTGGGTTTTAAGATGACTTTCAAAATGAGGGTTGGAAAAATTCTACATATGAAGTTTTTGACATTTACTCTTGAGATAGATGACTAAGCAATATACTCACACCTTATCATAGGAATAAAAAACAAACAAATGGATGGAGCTAATCCTTAAACTAGATGGTTTTGTTGTCAATGCACAGGTGTTAAGCCAACTCGAAGATCTTCACCGTTGATTACTCCCTGCCCCTTCACAAATGGAGTTATGAAAGAAGAAAATAAATTTGCCTCAAAAAATCCCTCTTTCGCTATCAATATAACGCCAATATATATGGAGGGACGAAGACCGGTAAGGTTTAGTTAGCATTATTTTACAAGTTTATAAATTATACTTTTAATTTTGGGTATTATTTCACTTATATCTAATGGCTTTAGTTTAATCTTTTTCAGCTACTTAAATCATTAGATACAAGAGAATTAATTTGCAATATGATCAGACCAAATACAGTATGGACTCGCCTATATGCAGTGGCGGAGCCAGGATTGGAGGAGATGGGGCGAAAATTAATTTTTTGTCTCGCATAATATCAATATTTTCTTTACCTATTAATCTCATACCTTCGTGAAACTCATTTAGGGAATTTTTTTATCAAAATATTAACTTTTAACATTTCAAAGACTGAAATAATGTACTGTTGGCCGGTTCCAACAAACATAAAAGGTAGTTTAAAGCAATAATTAAAAAAGAAAAAAGAAAAAAAAGTGCCTTAATTAAAACAATGCTTTTAACTATAATTTTAAAAAAAAAAAATTAAAAGACTGCAAACAAGTTGCCACAAAAAGTGAATCTTTTAAGTTAGAGTAAACTCATTTTCTTTATATGAAACCACTACACAAAGAGAAACACAACCATGCAAATGAAAAGAGAGCAAAAGGGTGGTAAAAAGGTCAAAGCTTTCATTAACCAAAACATAGCATATGAAAATAAAAAAGAAAATGCAAAAAAACTTAAACATAACACACACACTTTAAGTGAAGTGGAGGTAGATTTCAACTTGAATCTCAAACCAGAACTTCTAGTAGAAGCACGTTTAATAGTACCATGTTAACCTTCAACTGCATTAAAAAAAATTCAATTTTTTTTGGAGAGGGGGGCGGCCGCCCACCCTAGCCTCCCCCTGTCTATATGTATCGAGCCCAATCACACACGGTTGAATGAGCTTACGTTGTTAGTGGCCTGGGCCTGGTATTGCTGTTGGAGAGTGCTTGAGCTGGTATTGCTGTTGGAGAGTGCTTGAGCTTTGTCCTTCTCGTTGGCGTGTTGCACCAAATGGGGGCTACCTGCAAAGATACTCATATGCTTAAGTCAGTATCAGAGGCAAGTGTTTTTTGTGTTGATTAAGTAAAGATGATCGTACCTTGGTGGTATATCGTTTGCTTATATAGTAGTTAAGATGCCGCCTTAGTTAAAGCGGCTTGACTTCTGAGTGGCCAGCTTTGGGCTGCAGGTCAGTCAGGGGACCTGAGTAGCCTTATCTTCCATAGTGTCTTGTAGTAGAGTTGTGGCAAGCTGGAACTGTTCGTTGTTTACTGGAGTTAAGGCGCGGTGGAGTTGCTTTGGGCCTTAAGTTTACTTCCTATAGAAGGTTTCATACGCGATGTGAGTATCGCGTCTTGTGTGACGTGATGAAGGCATCGCGTCTTGTGTGTCGCGATGAGGGCATCGCGTCTTGTGTGTCGCGATGAGGGCATCGCGTATGTGTTTGTTCTTTGCGCTTTGCTCTGGTCTTCAATGGGTCTGGGCTTCCTTATGTGTTTTTGGGCCCTGATTGGACCTATATTTTATCCAGATCACAATATTAAGTATAAGACTTCTTATAAAGGTATAAGAACAACATATATAGATGCCAACTTACTAGTTTTATCTTCATTAATAACAATTTGATTCCTAGGGAACTTACACCGTATAGGTCAATTATTTTCATATATATGATGTGGGGAAACTTTATAAATGGCAAGCAGCAAGACTGCAGTTACTATTACTGTTAACACTTATATTAAGTGTTTGGTGATGAAAATATAACTTATGCAGCGTGTACCACCAGCCTTCCTCGAAGAGTACTTCAAGAACAAGACGCAGATTGTGATGTTACAATTTGAAAACAAATTGTGGCCTGTAAAGTTGCTCTGTTATCCACACAACAATTATGGTGTATTGTCTAGTGGTTGGTCCCAATTTGCAGGAGAAAGTGATTTGGTAGGTGGAGAGCTTTGTGTCTTTGAGCTCATCAACAGAGAAGATGCAGTGCTTCGTGTTCATATTTTCAGAGGCTACTGTTAGCCAATACAATAGGAGCTGTTTGCATTTGTTACCTTAGCTCTTAAAGATGTATCGTTCCTCTGGAATGGAATGGATCATGATTAGGAATGTCATTTTTAAATAAATTTAAAATATATATCTGTTAGCATTTATTATTTTTCAAATTTATTTACCCTAAAATAAGAAGATAAAAAAATGCTGTAGAAAGTAAGTACTTATTTTTTATAAGACAGCATCGTATTCATCCCTGTCTTATTATCTTATATGAGTGAAAAATAAACAAATCATGGACACGTATTTTCTTTCGATTCTTCTTATGACTAGATTCAATTTCCCGGTGCCTGCGAAAAGAAAAAGAATTTCACGCAGAAATAATAATGTCAAAATATTTATTTAAAACATATTAAACATAACAAATAATATATGGCAAAATAATTTCTGCAGCCGCTGCACCTACAACAAGTCAGGATACGGCACCGGATCCTAGGATACAGAACCAGATCCTGGTTTTTTTTTTTTTTAAGAAAAACTGTGGGACCCACTTTTCTGTGTCAGCTGCAGATAACACTGTCTACGACGGCTGCAGAAATGATAAGCTCATAATATATACATATATATAATGGGTTTTATAAGAGTTATGTTGTAGAAAAAGTGATTGTGTAATGTTATAGAGATTCGTTTTGCGTACCATAATTTCTTTTTTTTCTTTTTTCTTAAAAAAGTGTGGGCCCCACAAAATGTTGTGTGTAGGAAAGTTTGTTGTGTCATGTTAAACGACAAATGTAAACCCCATATATAATATATGAGAAAAATATTTCTCAAGTTGCTTGAGATATATTTATCTCTGGTTTCCCCAAAACTACGTCATTTTGTTTATTTATTTCTTTATATTACTTGATTCACCTTTGAATGGTTATGATTTCTTTTTTCTCTCTCTTCCTTTATCACCGTTGATTCATCTTTGTACGATTATGATTTAGTAGCCGAAAATAGAGTTATCTCAAGCAGCTTGAGAAATGATAAGCTCTCTCTCTCTATATATATATATCATTGTTATTAAACTCGGCTCGGTCATTGACCAAGTCAAGATACTAAGGAGGTGTATTGGATTAGGATTTTAAAAGATTTTTTTGAGATAAAAAATCTTATAGATCTGAAAAGACTATTTAGAAGTGGAGGTACTTTAAAGACTTTTTTTACAATCAAGATTTCATAAGATTGGATTTTAAAAGATTTTAATAGAATTTATAAGATTTGAAAGGACAATTTGGATTTATGAGATTTTAAAAAATAATATGAATTTTTAACAAACATTCAAAATTACAAGAGTCAATAAAAAAATAACAAAGAAATGTAATGAAATTAATAAAAAAAGTAAAACCTAATATAATTTTCTCAATTAGTAAAACATAATATAATTTTTAACAAACATTCAAAATTACAAGAGTCAATAAAAAAATAACAAACAAATGCAATGAAATTAATAAAAGAAGTAAAACCTAATATAATTTTCTCAATTAGTAAAACATAATATAATTTTTAACAAACATTCAAAATTACTAAGCAACAACTCTTCAAATATCTAAAGTTACATTAGTCCTCCACGCATTAGCATTTTTCTCTTGGGTTTGACCAATGGATTGAAAATTATCTTCTTCATTTGGTATCAAAGCTATGCATATATGATTATAAGACTCATTTTTTTAATTATTAAAATAATTCTAAATTTGCATATAGAACCTAAAGTTCGTGATAAAATTTCATTTGGAATTTTTTGCAATTGATCTTGAAAACCTTGAGATTTTTGTTCTACGTGATAAGAGTTTTCTAACTTATATCATATGCATATTTTCATTGAATATTCTACGAAAAATTCAAATTCAAATTTCTGGGTTTTATTACATAAAAGTTTAGAAAATTTCTCAAATTTTTTTCAAACGATACATTGAAACCTTAAATTACTTTGGGGCTTTTGAAAAACAAGTTTTTAGTTATCTATTGACACAATAATTGTTTGAAATCGTTTCCTATAGTGAAGGAATTTCGTTCATGAATGTATTGTTACGAAATATATGGTTCATATTATGAAAGTTTTAATCTTTCTTTATATTGATATTATTTCATTGATGTAAAACGAAAATTGGTTTGAGGATTTTAGTTTCTCTGTTATTTTCCTACTATTTTATGTTGTTTTTAATACAAAAATCACACCTTTTGTGCCAAGAAAAACCGTGATCCATAGCTTGAAAAATCAATTTTTAAACTTTCAAAAATTTTCAAAAATGGCTAAAAATATACTATTTTTGAGATTGATTATATTAAAATCTCGTTAGTTTGTTATTTTGGGTTGTTTTGTAATGAAAATCGCTAAAAAAATATGCTATTTTTGAGTTTTGACGAAGCTCCCATGGCGGAATCCGATTTTGAGCGAGTCTGCTCAAGGAAGAAGAAACACTGCAATAGAGAAATCTCAAGAAATCTTAGGTGTTAGGGTGAGATTGTGAGAGAGGCATCCTATTTATATTTCTTACTAAAAAGTCTCACGAAATCCACACCAATAGAAAATTCATTAAAATCAATAGATTTTTGAATATCACAAGATTGTTTTGTCATTGTTTAAAATCTTGATTGAATACCAACGGATTTGGACGGACTCTAAAATAATCTTTTAAAATCCTAATCGAATACCAGAAGACTTTTTTTCTATCCATTAAAATCCTAATTGAATACCAATGGATTTTTTTGTTCAAAAATAATCTATGAAAATCCTTTGAAATCTCAATCCAATACACCCCCTAAGTTACTGGGTCACTGATTTAATCGCATGCCCAGTAAGTATACATAAATATATAATTTATATTAAAAGATTTTAAATATACTCAAATACTTATAAAAAATGATATTGGTTTCAAATATTCTAATATAAAAAATAATAAATCACACACCATTGTACTATAAACGTAATTTTAATGCTTCAATTGATTCCTATGCTTATTAATTTATCCAAATTTGAACATTAAAAATATTTGGAGAAATATTTATATAAACAAAATTAATTTGTCCAATTTAATATTAAAAATACTCAAATCAATAATAATAATAATAATAATAATCGGTCCAAAGTCCAACCAATTTCATGTCATTGCTTAGCTAAAATAAAAATAAAAAAGAAAACTTGTATATTTCATTAATTTTTTCTCGATATCACACAAAAGTTCATATCCACTTGTAGAGCACTCTTTCTTTTGGTCCACAAAAGTCTAATTCAGAAAGCAAAACCTGACTTTCCTTCTTTTTCTCCGTTGGAAGCTGCCTTCTTTTCCGCTACTGTTACAAGAAACGGTTACCACTACACCCTCGTCAATTACAAATTCTCAAAGTGTCGTTATGATAGTTTTTTTATTGTCGTAGTCGCTTAAATCAGGTGTGAGCTAAAACCATTGGCAGGTCTTGTGGTTTGGGACTGCGAGTGACAGTGCTATCCAAGTATCAAGCTTTACCTACGATTTTCTCTCTAATAAGTATCAAGCTTTACCTTCAATTCTCTCTCAAACAAGCATAGTGTTGAGATCCATTATTTTTTTTAAAATAAATATGCATGACCTGGCAAGTTCAAATAAAACTGGTTAGGTCAAAATCGACTAGATCAACGGTTTTTACAAAAATCGACCAGTTCACACCGGTTCCATTACATGTCCAAAAATTGAACCGGTTACATGATCAGTTTACCAATTTCTGCGTCGACCCAACTGTGTCGATCCAGGTTTTATAGCGCGTGCACACACACACACTTATGTATATATATGAGGTAGGATCCTTTGACACCAGTGTCAAATTTGAAATTTGACACCTCATCTTAAAGCCATTAGATCAAAAAAGATTAACGACTCTGATTTTTAAGTATGTGACACCATTGATCTTTTTTTATCAATTTAAATTTGACACCGGTGTCAAAGAATCCTACCCCTATATATATATATATATATATATATATATATATATATATATATATATATATATATATATATATATATATATATGCCATGATCCTTTGACACCGATTTTAAATAAATGTTTGACACCTCATTGAGTTATTGATCTTACCTTTATCTAACGACTCTGATTTGTAATAATGTGACATCGTTGATCTGCCTTGATCTAACGACCCTCAGATGAGATAACTTTTTGTTTCACACACACACATATACATATATATGGACATGATCATTTGACACCGGGTCAAATAAAAAGTTTGACACCTCATTTGAGAGTCATTCATTGATCTTACCTTGATTTAACGACTCTAATTTGTAAGCATGTGACAATGTTGATCTGTCTTGATCTAATGACCATCAGATAAGGTGTCACACTTTTAATTTAATACTGGTGTCAAATGATCCTACCACACACATATATATATCCACGGGTTAAAAAATTACCTGACTTGTCCATTTTGAGCATTGTTGGACTCATTGGGGGCAACAATTAATGAAACACCAATACCGACAACCAATACACGACATGATACAACACCGTATGACATTTCAATATGTCAATTCTTAAAAAAGTTTAGATTTCGACATTTTGAGACACATTTTAATATTAAATAATATTTGTAATATATTCAATGTATATTACATTTCATATTCAATAACTTAAAAAAAGGAAACAAAATGGATTATATCCATCAATTTAACCAAAAAATCAAAGAAAATCAATTATTTCCATAATTCTTTGGGTATGATATTGTAACAACCAACTAGTGTTACAACCAATCAATTTCATCGTTAGATCGATTATGTTGATCCAACGGTTATATTTATTTTCATCTTTGTATGGTTATGATTCTCCATATTTAATGTGAAAGCATTAAATATGAGAAATCATAATCATACAAAGGTAAAAATAAATATAAAGTATTAAATTTGGGAAATCATAACCATACAAAGATGAAAATAAATATAACCGTTGGATCAACATAACGATCTAATAGTGAAATTGATTGGTAGTAACATTGGTAG